CATACGTACAAATATGCCTGATACAATTGATGTATGGATTGTAATAAGCATTGTAAGAGCCCTCAATAAAATGATAAAAAAATAAAAATAAATATATAAAATAAAGAGTTGATGTTGCACAATTCTATGAAGCACTCCTTATTAAGCACTCCCATTCTGTTTTACTACTATACATATATATTTTAAAAAATCATTTTATTAGGGATTACTACTATATTTTAATGACAGATTACTATAGGGAAGATACTGATTTTTGTGAATTTACTTCATACATGTCCACTTCTTTGAGTTCTTTATTTTTTCCAAATAATGCCTTTTATCATTGATCCTCTTAATTTTATTGCAAGCATATAATTGTATTACAAGCATATAATGCTAATAGAATCTCTTCCTTGATAGTGCTAACATGGCTTATTATCATAGTACATTGACTAGAATATTTCTGGAGTATTAAATAATATTATTATTAATATTTTAAATAATATTATTATATTGCTATTATAGAATGCTTATTTTGAATCTGATGAAAAAGTCTTTCAATGTCTTCCCATTAATGATAAGGGAGCTATATATTCTATAGACACAGATGATTTTTCATGATAATCGATGGGTTTGAATTATGGTGGTGGTGAAAAATATTGAAAGTATTCTTCAAAAGGAGAAGGGGATAAAAAAGTCTGTCTTGGAGGCAGTACAGCCAGAATGCTCCTTAGAGGCAAGGATGGCGAGACTTCATCTCACATCCTTTGGACACGTTGTCAGGAGAGACCAGTCCCTGGAGAAGGACATCACGTTTGGTCAAGTGGAGGGGCGGTGAAAGAGAGGAAGGGCTCTTGACAAGATAGCTGGATGCAGCCTGTGGCTGCAACAATGGGCTCGAGCCTACGAACTCTTGTGAAGATGGAGCATCCCTGGGCAGAGTTCCCTTCTAGTGTATGCTGGGTGGCCATGCGTCAGAACCGACTGGATGGAATCTAACAACAACAACAACAACAACAACAATCTACCACTTAGAACTTTCAGATAATAAGAAGAAAATAATCTTAGGGAGAGACTGCCCGCCTAACTCTGAACTGACCCAGACAGTCCTGATGGCATAGAAATCCTGGGTCATGCTTGAGGGTTAGGGCTACATCCGCTGTCTAAGACACGGAGCATCCCTCCCATTTTTCATTGCTCAGAGCTCTGAGGCACAACTGCCCACCCTGCCCATCTGGTCAGCTCCAGCGCCGACTAGAGAGAACGAAGCCACACTGATTTGTTTGTGTTTCAAAAATTGAACATCAAGAAATGAGCAAGAGGTCACATGATTTTAAAAAAAAAAGGAATTCCAACCACATCAAACAAGAGAGAACCAGTCTGTTTGCTGGACTTGTTTTTCAAAATGTCAGAGTCATAAAAAAAAAAAATAGTGACCTGGCCTCAAACTCGGGTAAAGTGGTTCTGGGGAGAAAGTCAAGGAAGCGACGGTCACGCTCTGTCATTCTAACGTGTTTTAACGGTCAGAGTTGAGCATGGATGTCATTGATAAAAACAGCGTAAGCGTGTAAGGCTTTACAATTTGCAAGCTGCTTTCACTGACTGTAGGGGCAAGAGATGGGGCTTTCTCCTCCTATTAAGAGTCACAGGGTTGGCAGTTCCTGGGGGCAGTTCTACTGTGCCCTCTCAGGTCGCTATGCGAAGGCATTGACTTGATGGCAGGGAGTTTTGCTTCGTTTTGTTTTCCTCTGACTATACTCTGATCAAGGCCCATCTGTGTGGCTCCCTGTGACAGATTAAGAGGAAATCAGGAGAACATGATGGCCTGGCTGCTTTCTTTGTTCTGATTAGCATATGCAGGGTAACCCGGGAGCTAAAGCTGACGGCTTGGTTTCTGTCTTTCTTAACTCTATGTGACTTGATTCGTTATGAGGAAGCTAGAATTCAAACCCTGGTCTAACATGTTCGGAAGTCAAGTTGACTGTGGTCAAGTTACTTCCTTCCCACTCTAAAACCCAAACTGTTATTTTCTGTTTCCCTCTAGGACTGGTGGAAGCCGGGGACTGGCTAAACATCTTCATGAGGATTTTCACAGGAGAATTCACGGAACTTTATTGGTGTGAATGGCTGCTTCTTACCCCTCCACTATGCTGGGTGCTTTAGGTGCCCCCAGTCTACGAGATTGGAATTAGCATCCTATTTCAAAGCCAAGAATATGAAAGCTCAGAGAAAGTAGGAAATGTGCCCAAGTGGTGAATTGACATCAAATGTCAGCTGTCTGCCTCGAGGGCTGAACACTTCACCACTCAAAACTCCCTGCCCTCGGGTCGTTGCGGACTCAGAGTGACCCTATCGCACAGGATAGAACTGCCCCTGAGGGTTTCTGAGACTCACTCTTTGTGGGAGTAGAAAGCCCCATCTTTCTCCCTCAGAGCGGCGGGTGGCCTGGAACTGTGGTTAGTAACCCAATGCATAACTGCTACACCATCGAGACTCCGTCTTTACCACTAGGCTCTACTATTCTGATTCTGTGAAAGTAACCAGTATATGCTTTTTTAATTAAAAAAAAAAAAAGAAGAAGAAAGAAAAAATATGTTAACATGGTTCAATAAGCACAGACGGCAGCTGTATGTCAATGCCTGCCATCTGTGTATGAGGATGGGGACCCCACAGCGGAGCCCAGATCAAGTAGACCAGCATTCCTTCCAACGCCTGCCCTACTGCAAGGCAGCGCGTGGAGATCGTCATTTCTATGTCCTTAGCTTGTCCCAGCAAGGTCCCAGCAGAGCGACCGGCTTCACACCAGCCCTACCATGTAGCATCGCCACGCCCCAACGTACAGCCAAGATACTGAGGTCAAGCAATTTGTCCAACCCACTGCTGATAAATAACACAGCCGGGACTTGAACACAGGACTGCATGGCTCCCTTGTCTGCAGTCCCTTGGAACCATACCCCGCTCTTGTCTTGGTGGACCAAGATCTGTGCTGAACCTGTCACACACGCACAGGGAACGGACTCTTGGATTTGAGCATCCAATGATGGTCCACGCGTACAAAGGAGCCCAGATGTTGGAGACAAGCTTTCAGGTGCTTGCTAACACCGTGGTCTTGGTCAGTCATCACTCCCGTGATTGACTGCTCTGAGCAGAACAGGGGTGGGGTGGGGGTGGGAAGCATGTCTGTGGGTTGGGTTTGGAATAGCCCCGCCTAGGTGAGGCAGCTTGCCTCTTAAAAGGAAGGGTGGGGGAGCTCAGAGGGAACCCCAAGGACCTTCGTAGCCTAAGCTTTCAAGGCGTTTCTCTATCACAACAGCAAGACTTCGTCCACAGGCCCTCTGCTCCAGGGAGCCTTGGGGAATCCTCAGCCCTAACGTATTTGGATCTCAAAGTGACTCAAATGTCCTAAGGGCTTGTCTGTGACTCTTGTGATTCATAGTCATCTCTCTTAAGAGGCGGGGTTGCAGGGACAGTGGTGATGCACACTACACCCCCCTCTGGGGGTGGGGCACCCTTTCACTTTTGTCTGTAGGGACTACTGCCGGCAATAGTGGCTCGGGTCCCCTGAAACTAGAGTCAGCTGGGAGAGCCCTCGCCTCAGAAACGGCACTTTGTTTTCTGCTAGGGAGCCGGGGACTTGATCGCCCGTGACTCACCTTTCCTTCTGTTGCCTACACAGCACACACGTCAGAGCCTACCATGGCATCTGCTTCCCTGCTGCCTCCCCACCCCTCCTACCCCCCTCTGGCTCTGGGTCAGACAACTGGAGGGGATGGGGACAGTTCGACCAGCAGCAGGGAAGCCGGGAAGCTGTGCTCCTCCCTCCCGGAGACCCCTCGGAGCATGACCCACAGCATTTCCTGCCCTGACTCGTGTTGCCACTCCCCTTGCACTTGAGTTTGACTAGGACCTTGAACATTCAAGAGTCAATCGGTCTATTTCTCACCAAGTATATTGAACTTACGCCTGGGTGTTGGCGGTCCAGATACAGAGTGCTTGATTTCAAGAGATCAACACTGACTGAATAACAAGGACAACCCTGGCATTTAGGGAGTCTTTGCTGTGCCCGGCATGGCACACGTGCATCACCACGGCTCTCTCCCCTCAAGTCCCGCTGTTGTGACCCTGTTTTTATGGATGGAGAGGCATAGGGCTGTTCAGTAACATGGCTAAGGCTACACAGCTATCAAGTGCTGGCCCTGGGATTTGAACTCGGCTCAGGGTGACTTCAAAGGTGGTGTTTCTTACTCACTCGGTCAAGCATCACCCCGACCCATCTACCCCTTTGTTCTGTGGTCTGCCTAGACCAGCGGCTCTCAACCTGTGGGTCGCAACCCCTTTGGGGGTCGAACGACCCTTTCATAACAGTAGCAACATGACAGTGATGAAGTAGCAATGAAAATAATTTTATGGTTGGGGGGTGGGCGGTGTCACCACAACATGAGGAGCTGTATGAAAGGGTCGCGGCCTTAGGAAGGTTGAGAACCTCTGGCTAGACAGAGCATAGAGTGTCCTTTGATGCCTCTCCATACCTGTCCTCTAGCCACTAACCCCCTGATTGTTAGAGACTGTCTCTGCCGGCACCCAGAGAGTGCTGCAGAGGGGGCTGCGTTCAAAGTCAGGCACTCTCTGGGTTAAAAACTAAAACTAGCTCGGGAGGCCTTGGGGCAGGGGGATGAATGAACATTTTATCAACACAAATGTCACTGGCAGCCCCAGAACAAACAGTGTCCCACCCGGCTCGCTCCTTTATGAGGCATGCAATCAATAAACGCGGAGCAGGGCTCTGTCAGATTTATTGGCTGGGTTCAAACCGAACACCTCTTCTGCCCGCCAAAGGCTGGGTCACCAGCTCTACCTTTCCGTTCCTGCTCTGGGCAGCCCCCATTCTCCCCGGTGGGGCGACAATGGTTCATTGTTTAAGGCAGGCCTTGTGAGAAGTTGTGTTTGTCTTGCCTCTTATCTTATCAGCTCCACAGCTACAATGGCCCAGGTGTACTCACCATTTTACCATCAGGTGAGAGGAGATTGTGGCCTGGGTCCAGGTTGGCTGGGGAGACTTGCTGTAAAACTGACTGGCTGGTCACCATGGCATTGTTGCCATGGTGACTGATGGTCGAGGAGGACGGGACTTCGTTGTTTCCCTGCTGGCTGTAGCGCACTCCTGCAAAACAACACAAATCCAATGGGCGAAGTTAGTGCCATCAGAGAGCCCGGGACAATGGACTCAGCTCTGTGTTTTCAAGACAGCAACATTGTGTTCCCCTCCTCTTGTCTGCCCAGAAGAACAATGGACCATCTTCCTCTCGGTCAAAGGGGGACAAGGTCTCTAGGTCTAGAATGTAAGTGCCAGGAGAGTAGGCGTTCTCACTGGCTGTTGGGTTCATTGCCATCTTCCCAGGGCTCTGGACCTTGGTAGCTACTCCGTAAATGCCTGTTAGATGTGGGAGGGGATGCACGCTGCTCACTGTCGCTTCACTACAGTTCTTTTAAGGTGAGGTGCTGCGAGTGAGTGAGCTTTTCTTTTCCGCTAACGAGTAGTTCTTTTAAAAAGTGCCGTCTAGGAAATGTTCTCTGTTATCTCTCGGGTGCAAAGTAGACTCGTTTTTCAAAGAAGAGTAATTTGTCTAGTGACCTCTGTAAGAGTCATAGTAAAATGTGCAAATCTCTGGGCACCACCTTTTTGGGCAGAGTCCAAGAGGCAAGGGGACCCAGACAGAGCAGGACAGGGGTGGAGCTGCAGCTAGGATTTCTTTGGCCCCGGAGCTCACATTCCTTGATGGGGTCCCAGTGGGCTGATCTCCCGGGCACAGGGGAAAGTCCATGGGCTAGGAGATGGGGCAGTCAGTAGCCACAGGTCAGATGTGGATGCTTTAGACCCTGCCATTTGCTTTGCAAAGGTGGGAGGACCCCAGTCTGGTTTACAGCCCTACTGCCCTCTGACCCTCTCTGTGGCTCAGGAAACCAAACAGAGGGGGGTGCTTTCTGGAAAAAGAAAGTGCTGCACAGAGACCAAGCCCCTGAGGCTGATGGTGGACAAAGGACCTGGGGTCCAGTTTGCAGATGCAAAGTCCTTCTCAATGTGCCCAAGAGACAGCCAAGGACAAGACCGGGAGCCGTTGGGGATGTCTCAGCCCAAAACTTAGAAAGACAACGTTCTCATTTCGTGCTCTGGATTTGGTGAAAAGGTTTTATGGCGCCATTTCCTGACCTTCAGGGGAGGTCGACAAAATGCTCTCTGCTTGGAAGGACTGGACCAGTCATTTGGCCTTGCCTCTCCCTTGGCCCAATTCCTCTAGAGGAACCATTCCTAGATATTGCTTCTCTTGGTCTGTTTCCTCTTTGCACTGCCTCCTGCCCCCACTGGGGTTCCACTTTTTCAAGGAGGTTACAAAGTCACCCCAGGGGCCAGGCAAGCTCCAATTCAGCCAACAGCCTCCAATTCCCTAAGATGAAAATGGCCAAGAAGAGACACAACTCGTTTTTCTTGGATTCTCCTAAGGACATTCCCCAAGGCTTCTATGCGCGCTTAAGAGGGCTGGAGGGGGAAACCCCAACAAACCCTCAAGTAAGGTTCTAATCTTCAAGAGCAATTGGTTTGACTATGAAGTGGTTCAGTGCTTGCTCTGTGGGCTTTTGTATTGGTCATAACCCTCATCCTTTGATTCAAGGGACTGCTCGGGGGAAGTACTGGGATTCAATGGTTCTCGGTCCCATACAATGCATGTGGTGGGGTAGGGGCAGGGGCAGGAGCCATGACGTTAAAAAGAACAAAGGTTTCCACATCTCCAGACCAACACCCCCTACCCTGCCCTGTCTTCTTTCTTCTGCACATCTCTTACTTATCATCTACTTATCATCTACACCATCCCATGAGATTAAATTAGATCCTTTTCTCCATTCACATTCACCACCAGCTTCCCAGCAGGCTGCTTCCAAGAGCTATCACTCTCTGCCATTGAGTTGATGCTAATCCATGGAGACCCTGTAAGACAGGGTAGAACTGCCCCGGTGAGTTTCCAAGAGTGTTCAACTCTGAGGGAGAAGAAAACCCCGTCTTTCTCCCGAGGTGCTTTTGAACAGCTGACCTTGCAGATCACGGCCCAGCGAGTAACCACTAGGCTATCAGGGTTCCTTAAAGCTATACATAGTGTTATATAGTAGAAGATGGAAATTTGAACCCCCATGAGCTCAGAAGGTAGAGAGCAAGCCCCAGTGGAAAAGAGGGTGGCAGATTTTGAATCAGTAAAAGGGATTTTCCATGGTGGATGGGCAGTGGGAAAAAGACAGGTTCTGGAGCCAGACAACCTCAGGTTCAAATCCTGACTTTGTCCTTAATAGATGTGTGATCTTGGGAAAATTACTTTCCCTTTCTGCTCCTCAATTTTTTCTCATAAAAGAAAATGGGAGGGGACGAGCCAGTCAGGATGCAGGGATCAACGATGAAACATACAACTTTCCTCTAGTTCTTAAATGCTTCCTCCTCCCAATATCATGATACTAATTCTACCTTACAAATCCGGCTAGACCAGAGGATGTACACTGGTACAGATAGGAACTGGAAACAGGGAATCCAGGACAGATGATCCCTTCAGGACCAGTGGTGAGAGTGGTGATACCTGGAGGGAGGGTGGAGGGAAGGTGGGGTAGAAAGGGGGAACTGATTACAAGGATCTTAATATAACCTCCTCCCTGTGGGGGGTGGACAACAGAAAAGTGGGTGAAGGGAGACGTTGTACAATGTAAGATATGACAAAATAATAATTTATAAATTATCAAGGGTCCATGAGGGAGGAGGAGCGAGGAAGGAGGGGGAAAATGAGGAGCTGATATCAAGGGCTCAAGTAGAAAGCAAATGTTTTGAGAATGATGATGGCAACAAATGTACAAATGTGCTTGACACAACGGATGGATGTATGGATTGTGATAAAAATGTACGAAGCTCCAATAAAATGATTAAAAAGAAAAAGAAAACACTTCCTATATTGGGTTATTTTTTTGTGTTAGACATAACATCTATAAAGCCCTATATCTATAATTATCTGTGGGGATACTGGGGTGAAGGGAGGAGCTGGGGTGAAGGGTGGACCCCAAGCTATTTTCCCTAAAATTCTAGACAACTTAGGGCAAATTAAAGCACTGAACGAGCATCCCCTTCAGTAGAGAGCAGTGCCTGGTGACCCAACTGCTGCTTGGGAGGGAGACCTGGCCACTGTCCTCTTGGCCGTTCCTTTTTGAGGACCTGGACATCACCCCGTTTTCCACCTGCCTTCTCTGGCGCTCTGACCAGCTGTTTACCTCCCCACGATGCTCTGCTCCTGAGAGAGGGGTGATAACGCTGGGAGTCAGGGGTGTTTTCGCCTCCCAGCCTGTCCCCCTCATCGATTCAGTCTCAAGTCAAACAGTCTCTGGATCTAGCCTATTTAATTTGGCTGCAGGAAGAGGGCCAGCCCTCTGATGATCAAATATGGGTCACAGGGAGGCTTCTCCCCTACCACCAACTACGTAATTATTTATTTAAAAATAATTAACCAAGGATATCCGCAGGAAACAAAAGGTTTCTTTATAGAAGGGGGCCTGGCAGGAGAGAGTCAAGAGCCATTTGTTAGGATCCAGGCAGCATCGCCTACGGCTGTGGTTTTCTAACTCCCCCCCTCTCCTTCTCCCCGCAGAATTTCTTTCTATAAGAGATATAATGGTGGCACTGCTCAGTTTAAGACAGAGGGGCCCCTGTGAGGAGTGTAGACATGAAGCCCCCTCCATCCCCTCCCCTCCCCCGACGAAGGTGGAAGAGTCCTGTCTGGGAATCAGGGCATCCCTATTTGGAATCTCAGTTTTGCCACTGTTTAGCGGCTGAGCTTCCTTATCTATCAACCACAGGACTTCCAGCTACATGGCGAGGGCCTGGGGCATGTGGGAGTTCGGCAACGAGGCTGGCTCCTCAGCTCCAGCTTCACCCACAACCTTTGCCAGTGAGCTCCTCTCACTGGGAATGTGGCCACCGCTCTGCACCCCGAGGGGGTTGCTGTCACCGGCCAACTCTTCTTACAGGCTGGAGGGTGTATCACAAGGTGTCTGCTGGCTAGGGCCCAGAAACAGGTGTTCTTGTTAGAGGAAGGAGAGGCCAAGTCCTTGTGTAGTTCACAAACTCACGCCATGGAAGTGGAGTACGGAGTGGGCAGGCTCTAAAACCAGATGACCTGGGCTTAAATCCTGGCTTTATTCTGTGTGACCTCTGGGAAGTGACTCGACTTACCTGAACTTCAGTTTCCTGGATTTAGTCATATCCACCCCTTAGGCTGTCGAGAAGACCGAATGAATTATTAGACAGGAAAGCCCTCGGCCCATGCTTGGCACTTAACAGTTGTCCAAGACACCTGGATTCCTCTGACATTGGTCTTAAGAGCCCTGATGGCATAGTGGGTTATACATTGGGTTGCTAACTACAAGATCAGCAGTTCAAAACCTTCAGCTGCTCTGTGGGAGAAAGATAGGGGTTTCTACTCCTGGACAGATTCACAGTCACTTCCATAAAGATTTATAGCCTCAGACACCCACAAGGGCAGGACTCAGAAGTTCTACTTTTTCCCGCAGGGTTGCTAGGCGTCAGAATGGAGCTGATGGCGGTGAGTTAGGGTTTGACTTTAGTCTTTGTCTGAAACGTATGTTGAGGGAGGCTGAGTTCACAACACTTAATTCATCACCTACCATGTGGCAAGTGCTAGGGAGCCTGTGCTAAGAGGAAGTGGGATGACATCTTCCCTTCTTCCTCCAACATTGCAAGCTCTGAAACCCAACATACGCCAAGGACTCTGGTTTAATGCTGGCTGGGCAGAGGAACTAAGTGAATAGTCACAGACGACCCTGGAAGAAATAAAACCACCAGAAGGTGGCCATATGCCTTCTACCCATTTCCTGGATGTCACAACTCACTGGCCCTGTCCCGCCGCTGGCCCTGTGAACCACCATGAACCGGTGGTTCACCCAGCCCGCGAGCTCTACCATCCATTTGCTGGGTGAGCTTCAGCCTCCTGATCGATAAGTACCGTTGTGGGGCCAGCGGCAGAAGACATCCTGCTGGAGTTGGCAGGCCTTGGTGAGGAGGTCACCTCCTTTCACCTGTTCCAGGCCTCGGTCACACGGAATAGGGTTACTTCCGAAGTC